AGTAAAGCGTAAAGTAAAAAGTGGAAGGTAAAAATCGGAAAGTGTAAAAAGTGAAATATAGAAAAAAGTAAAGCATAGTAGAAAGTATAGCGTAAAGTAATGTGTAAAATATGTGTAAAATATAATGAAACATGAAAAGCTAAGCGGAAATTTAAGTGAAGCGGTCAATATAAGAATCATAAAATGTAAAGTAAAGAAAACAGTCATCATAGCAATCATAAACAAAAAATCAAGAATAGTCATCATAAACAATCATAAAATGTAAAGTAAAGTATAGCGTAAAATAAAAAGTGGAAATCATAATGTAAAAATTGTATAAACTAAAAAGTAAGCGTTAAATTAAATGTCAAGTAGAAAGCACAGAAAACCATAGAATATAAATTATACAGTAAATAAAGTATGACTAAGTTTGGACTAAAACTAATTTGAGACTAAGAGTAAACTAAGCTTAAAATATACGCGTCAAATCTAAAGTTAGGACTAAAATATAAAGAGAAAAGTAAAAGAAATATGAAGACTGAGTAAAACGTGAAGTATAAATTACAGGTGATAAATTACAGGTATAAATTACGCTTTACCTTATATATAAGGTAAAGCGTAAAATAAGGTGAAACGTAATGTATGAAGTGATGCGTAAAGTATAAAATAAAACGTAAAAGGAAAAATAATAATATGTAAAGCCTAAAGTCAAGCGCAAAATATAACGTAAACTTGGAAGAGTAATGTGAAGTAGAGTGAAAAGTAAAGATTGAAGAAAATATTAAGTGTACAAAATAAATAAATAGTAAGTGTGAAGTAAAGTAAAGGGTGAAGGGTAAAATTTTAAATATAAGGTAAAACGTAGAACAAAAAATATATAGTTTATAATGTTTAGTAGAAAGAAAAGTAAAAAGCATGTAACGTAAAAGGGGAGTAAAGTAAAAAGCGATAAAGTAAAATAGAAAGTGTAGAGTAAAGCGGCTTCAGTGAAGAGTTATCTGAGAAATCCCGAAGGCAGTAAACAGCGTATTGGACGGTTAGAAGCATGAATCTGGAAGCTTGCTTGTCACGGTAAGATTTCATCTGCACATAATAAGCCATTTAAAAAAATAACTTTCAATATGGAAAAAAATCTATGATATAAGTTAATTAAAATAAAATTTTCTACTGAAAGCATTTAAAATCTTGACACAGACTTAAAAAAATAGGTTAAAAATTTTTTAATCAATGAATTGTGAATAATGTTAACTGTAACATCCTGATAGGGAATTATGTTTTCTAATAAAGGTAATAAAACAATTTCGAGATGAATCCCCTGTAGTATTAAATAAATAAACGTTTTATTGAAATGTTTTGATAAAGAATGGTACGTTATCCAATTAAAATAAAGAAGTTTCTAAATAAATTTCAGCGTAACAAAGAATTAAATTTAATGAACTGTGAGTAAATCTTGCCTATTCTGACACAGTTTTAAAATGTGGCAAAAATGAAATTAAAAGCCGTAAAAGTAAGAAAAAAGTTGCGAGTAAAAGTAATGCATAAGATAAGTAAAGCTAAAAAAAATACGGAGTTACAAAGAAGCTTAAAAGCTACTCATAAAAAAGCAAATTCAACGCATGAGAAAAGGAAGGAGCAACAAATTAGGGAGTTTAACACAGAAATGTAACACTAAAAGAAAAGTAACACCTAAAATCAAATATATTAAATTAACGAATGAAAATATAAGTAACGCATAAGAAAATTGACAGTAACGCTACAAAGTAACTCCTAAAGAAGACTAAAGTTATTGACAAAAAATCACTGATAAAAGTAAACGGGTAAATTTAACGCATAGAGGAAAGTAACGCTTAAAAATAATACAAAAGAAGATTAATAATAATGATTAAAGGAAGTAAATGCAACACGCATAACGTGTAACGCATGAAGAAAAGTAAGAGCGTAAAAGTAACGCGTAAAATGTAAAGGAAAACACATTAGAACATGGAGTTAAGAATGAAGTAGAGCAACGTTTAAAGGAACGCAACACATAATAAAAGTAACATGTAAAATTAAATAACACATAAGAGTAAAGTGAAAAAGTATGCATAAGAAGTCTAAATCCTTTGAGTGGCCAACTCTGAATTCGTTCGAAAGTCTTTAGGGCATATTAGTAAGACACGTTTACAGAAAGACAATTCAAAAGCAACTCTGATATGATTTATGCAATCAAGATGTCTCGAAAAAAATATTGATACCAGCATTTTACGAACGCTATCTGGGTTCACAAATGAGAGATTGTAAAATGTAATTGAATACAAAGGATCTCACATTGATTATTGATGTAATAATTGTATCGGCCTTATATTTTTTTTTCCGATTTACTTAGCGTTGAAATATTAAAATGACACATAGAGTAATGTGCAATGCATTTTGCTGATAATTTTATTTTAATTTTTTTACGTTATAATCTATGGCTACATTATAAAATCAAATGATATAAGCCCTTTATTCTTAATTTTTAACATTTTCATCAGTGACTTCATACTTAGAATTATTAAGCTTGGTGCAATTTGTCGCACGTATTGCAACTGCTTTAACCCATCAAAATATTCCAGACAGCTAAAATACTTTATAACCTAAACAAGTTTCAAGTAATTTTTGAACTAGAAACAGAGGATCTGTATTCTTACCTCCAAATGTTTGTAACAACGTTTAAATCTTTAATCAAAATAAGAAGAAGAAAAAAGCCAAATCACCATTTTATTAACTTATAAAAACTGATATTTTTAAAACGGATATCGTAAGCCCTTTTTTCCTCTATCATTTTTTGAGACAACCAAATTAAATTTTTTTTCTCTTGGAGAAAATAAAGGAAGAGCCGTATGACCCAGAGGTAAAGGCACTAAACTGTATTCGGGAAAAGCTGGGATTCGATCCCCAACGTCTTTAGGCCCATCCAGCTTCAAATCCATTAGCAAAGTAAGTGGTCAATGCATAATGCTGATTAAATTACCATCATGCCGTTGGTAGTGAAATAGGGGATCCTTAACTTTCATGAATACTCCCATCCCACTCCCCGGCACACATAAGGCAGTGGCGGGAATGCATGCTTATAACCTGCTTTTAAGTATACCAAAAAATACTTATAAGCAGGTTAATGCTTATAAGTATTTTTTGGTCAAAAAAATACTATAATACAGGTTCATATCTTTCGTCCTAACATTGGTCTATTGTAGAAATATTTTTACCTATAAAAGACGGCCTGATGGCCAGATTACGGCTGAAATAACTTTAAATAAATCTAAGCTATTTTTAAACACAATTTCAGATATTGAATTCGAATTGAGTATTGAATTAGTCTAATTATATAAAAATAAAATCATTAGCTCACTTGCCCATTTCCTTATTTCCTTAGCCCGATTGCCGAAAAAAGTTATGAACCAAAACAAAATTTAGATAATTTTTAACCTGAACCAAAATTCTGTTTGTTAACCCATCCTAGGAAATCATTTACACATCAAAAATTTTGTTAGCTAACCCGCTGAAAGCTTTTGTGGTTAGGACAAACTTTAGACAATTTTTGACCTACGAAACAAAAATTTTAATTCGGTCCCAAGCATCAATCCATAGTACGACACCGTTAGCCTATGCACAATTTTTTTTTTGGTCTTGAAACGTTTTATATGATCTAGAATCACAAGTTTTGAATTATGCTCCAAAATTTCATCTTCTCTGCCAAAATTTTTTATTACTTTAACAGCAACTAAAAAGCTATGGATAATTTTTGACTATAAAAAGACAAGTTATAATTCAGCATTCAAACGATAGAGAAAATAAAGCAACAAAGTCGATCGTTGCACATTTTTAGACATAAGAGCAAATATAGATTTACTACAGTAGTTATTTATATAACTGTAATAACAATACTTCTTGTTACAGGATCTTCAATAAGACGAGCCAAAAGTATGGAAAAATTTGATACGTTACCAGCACAAATATAAATTCAATAAGAAGTGACGAGATAAAAATTATATCTGATGCCAAATTAATGATTTAATGCATGTAAATACACATTTTTACTTATGCAATCAAGAAATGGCTTAAGATCTGTTGATTTTTCATGTCCACCCCTAGTCCAAGAATGCCTGGATCAGGTCCATCGCCCTAACAGCACAACTAGTCCACCATTCTTCACAACAGCCTCGCACAATTAAAGACAGGTCTCTTCCCTGTCCACAAATTTTAAACATTTGATGTAGCCGCTGTGTAACCTGGCTAATGCAGTTTGTGTTGCAGATCATCGAATTGCAGAGACAATTTCCATCGTACCTATCATGTGCGGGAGGCCAAGAATTTCCGAGGGGTGATAGAAAAAATAACACTTCCTTCTTTTGCAAGCAAGTCCGCCTGCTCACTGTCGTAAATCCCAACTTGAGAAGGGATTCATTGGAGGACAACTTTACTGTGAATGAATAAGCACGTTAAAAATAATTTCAGGTCTACTTTTTCCCGGAATTTCCGTCCAGTTTTGTAACAGGGTGCGTAGACAACTCAATCAACAAAAAATAAGCACCGTTTAAGCACTCAAAAAATATTCTTAAGCAGTATATACAATAATAAAATGCAAAATAATTTTCAAAGACTTTTCATGATCATGATAAAATAACCAGTTTCTGAGAAAGAACTCTTTTCTTGATTACATTAGTCATTATAAGAAGAAGAGATTTTTCGGTTCGATATCAGAGGGTGGAAACTGTAGATTGAAATTGAGAATATCCTGCAAAATGCAGCAGAGTTGCACATGGGCGTGCAAGAATCTCACCAAACCCCTCAGCTCAGTTGACGCACTAGCGGCCTCGAAAGTATTTCATCAAAGTACAATGATTGGCGCTTTTACGCTACAGACCGGTGGGAAGCTGAATATTGTGATAGAATGAAGATTGTGATAGAATGAATTGTTAAAACGTTGAATTGAACAATGTGAAAAGCATGCTGTTGCTTAACACTGGCGAAAGTCGACAAGGTTAAAGAAAAAGATCACATTTTCGAAAACGGAAAATTTATTTATGAAGATTAAAAGATTATTATTTATAAAGATTAGAAGCAGCAAGCAATTTAGTGGAACATTACAATTCTTTTACTACCAAGTAATCGCCTTCGTAATATATCCTTCTATCAATTAGTTTCCTTTCTACTTTTCCAGAACAGACAGTTATTGCACTATGGAGTTCTCTTTCTTGAGATTTTAATAGTTCTGACTGATGATGATGGAACTGTAACCAAGCATCACCTAAGATAAGAATGATATTTGCAATCAGTACACTTAAATTTTCACAAAAAAAGATAGCATTACAAATAAAAAGTATATATTTTAATTTTCTTCGTGTGTGGGATATTCAGTAAATTACTATGTCATCCTTTATAGATAAATTTGGAATCCTAAGCACAGATGAAGATTATATACATATTTGTGACAGCTGATATAAAAATATCTTCTGAATTAAATTTGGATATGTTTCTAATAATTTCCTATCGCTTTTTTTCAATTTTCTAGAGCAATGAAAGACGTTTTGGTACTTTCTGATCTCGTGATGATTTTCCTCGTTAATGTTTTGTCAAGTATCGATTAAACTCTTTTTTTTTCTCTTTTTTTTTTTTTTGGCTTATACATTAGTTGGCAACGCCTCAAAGTGTAGATTTTGAATTTAATTTTTAAGAAAGTTTATCATAAAAATTATGGGTGTTGATTAAGGAATATAAAAATTACAAGTGTTGGGCTTAAGAAACGCTTACTGTTAGTGATTAAATCGCTCTGATTACTTATTTCTAATCAGCAGGTTGGTCACCTGGACTATTCCTTGAGCCAACGCGGCCGACCCAATTCTGAGTTTTCAACTACTTATGTTTGACTCCGTTACCTTGCGATTTTGAACCCAACCCCGAAGGCAAGGACACTTCTAGATCAAGCATTGGAACAAACTAACCTTCGTGGTGGAGTTTTTGATGGAACTAACCCGCATTTGCGTTATATGGAGGGAAAACCACAAGAACCTCGATCGGTTAGTCCGACGTCTTGTGGATTCTAACCCATGATCCGACTATAGTGTTGACATAAAATTTTCTCAATGGTAGACAGATCATGGGTTTAAATCCCCTTGCCCCGTTGGGCTAACCATGGGATGCTTTCGAGGTTTTCCTCTCAGGTAACGCAAATGCGGATAGTTCCATCCCAGCTTGTCCCAATACTTGACCCAGGGTTCCCTAGCACTGGGTTCAAATTTACAAGGCTACGGAGTTGAACATTGATAGTCCTAAGTTCAGAATTGTGCTGACTGTTCAATGCCGGTTATAAAATAAAATAATCAATCGTGTAAATTTGATTAAAATAAATTAGCTATAGCTTAAGTCTATGAAAGCATAGGCAGCAGGCACCAAAGGAGTAATATATTTTCTCTTATTTTTTAATTAATAGGGATTAATTTAAGCTAAGATGAGTTCATTCCATTTGTCACAAAATTATGGGGCCTTGACCTACATGAGCCACTGGCCCACAGTAGGCTGTTTCGAAAATGCTTTACTTTTTACCCTTAAAATAACGCTATAAACGATGTGTTTTGAACTTTGCGAACGCTATACTATTTAAGATTTTTCCTTTAAATTTTCTCTGAGTATTTCTAAGCATACAAAGGTGTTTTCGAAAAACGTGCAGCTCATATTCTATACCAGTTTAAAAGAATTCAGCTCTGAAAATTTAATTATTAACCAGTTTTAGATTAATTCCACTTTATAAAAAAATTATTTAAAAATTTTTTACAGTGTCTACGATCATTTTAACGGCTTCTACGCTCTGAATTTAGTGTGCGTTAACCTAAATAAGATGTTGTTTTTTTAAAATTTTCTATAAGTATTTCTGGACTCTTACAAAAGTTTTCAGAAATTGTAGTACCCATATTTTGATTCTAAATTAATTTTAAATTAATTATACATCGTAAAATTTTTTAGAGAATTCATAATAATAATTACGCTATATACTCGTATTCTTTGAACTTTGCGTGTTATAGTTATGTGTGCTTTTAACATTGTGTGTTTTAGACTATGCAAGATTTTAATTTAAACTTTTCTATGAGTATTTCTGGGCGAACATGGCTGTTTTCGGAAAATATGATGTTCATATTTTATTTCAAAGCAAGTTTCATATGAATTCCGCATAGTGAAAAAACCATAAACAATTCGTAAGAAGTCTACGCTTATATGATCAACAATTCATTATAAGATCCGAACTTAGCGTGATTTTCTAACTTTGCTTTTTTTCGTGACATTTTTCTGAGATACTTTTTAACTTTATTAGATTCCGTTAGTAAAAATATTGAAACTATTTAGTCTAAAATCTGCTTTAATTTCTGTTAATTCTGTTGAGTATCCATTTGGATACTCAAATATCACGAAACTTTCTTCGGTTTCGTTAAAAACAAAGAAATGCTCCGAGCAAAAATTTCGGCAAATTAATGAAATAACTATCGTCACTTCTTCGAGAAAACGAATTTCTACAAAATTAAAAAAATATTTCGTCATTCTATTTTTATGAACAAAAAAAATTAGAAAAATCAGTCTTGTAGTTCCTGATGCATCTAATTTTTCGTAAAATCACCTTTACGTGGGCCTCATACAAGTGACACAACAGATGAAAAACAGAAAGGTGTATTACACACACTCCAGCTGCGTGATTTGAACCTCGGATCTTCCTAATACGAGGTCAATTCCGTGACCACTGTACAGCCCGTTCAGCTTAACTTGAAACTTTATTTTCGATTCAGAGTCTTTATTCTAGTAAACAATCTCCCACAATGCATTGCGATAACGTTTCCAGTTGCGGAAACATTTTCATCATAAATTTGTGAGCTCGCTTATCGTCACAAAGCATGCAATTTCGTGAAGAAATGATTCTCAAAATTAGCGAACTACTGCTAAAGGATTGCTGAATCGACAAAAGTGAGAGTTTTATCTCTGAGAGAGACAAGAAACTAAAATTCGCATAACAAATTTTCGTTGCTGATACAAAGCTTTTTTGTTCAATTAGTACTGTATTTATAAATTTTAAGGTAATTTATATGTCAGTTTTTCATGATTAATAATATAACTGCATGATTCTAGTGCTATATGCCTGTCTCTTGCAATTTGCAAATTTAGATCTCAGTAATAATTTAAATAATAAATGCTAAAGAAACCTTTGCATATTTTGTCTCCAATAGCCTTTAGAAGAGTGAAACCAATACCAGGATTATTCTGACTTATATATTCTTCTTCTTTCCATATGTTAGCCAATTTTAATGGATCAATGTTTTCGATGTAACCTGCAGAAGAAAAAAAACTTTGAAATTAAACTAGAATTAACCATTATAGTATATTATTGCGCAATTATAGTTCAATTATAGTACATTATTCCTCACTTAGGACAATTTTAAAATCCACATTTAAGTTGTTTATAATTTATTTCACGATGTTGCAAGAAAGGAACATATTACGGAACTATAAACAACTGTAAATTGTAGTCGTGGTAAATAATATGGGCCTACGCAATTGTAGTAGAGGGTACTATGTATAGCATAAGGTTACACAATTTTCCCACTCTCCACTCTTTTCGCCTCTCAATTATCATGGTTTCTGTAAATCTTTTCTTTTTTTCCCACGACAGCATGTTTCAGTAAGAACTTGAGTTGAAAAAAATAAGATTAGCCAAACCCATTGTAAAAGTAAGGAAAGTGGGAAATCATAAAATCTTGAGACGCATATTCTACTTACAGAGATGTAATTTTATTATTCAGTGATAGTATCATCGTTATTATTATTATTATTTGGAATTTTTTTTAAGTCGAACATTTCTGAAACTTACTCAAATGCTTCGGTACTATATTGATGTTAGAAATATCCCAAAGTTCGTAAGAACTCTTATTTTGACATGCTTCAGTCTAAATAACTCAAATTTGATGCTCTGTAGAAAACTTTTAACTCTATATGTGTAGAATATTCGAAATTATATAAAACAATTACTGGAATCCTCCTACGCGAAGTTTTCCTTAATCCATATCGTTAATATACATTTGTAGAACCTTGCCGAAAATTATTTAAAAAAATATGCGCATTAAGAGTCGAAAATTGATAATTAAGCGCGGAAAAAAATGTTATGAAAACCTGACGAATCACTAAGACGGAAAATTTAGATTGAAAAATTATTAGACGAATTATTAGACGCATTAAAGATTCTATTCAAAATCTTAATTATCAGGTGATACTATACAGCTTTATTATTTTCGTATGGCTGAAACCAGTTTGTACTTGTTTACGTTCGTGTATTAACCGGTTAACACTGCAATGCAATACGTTAAAAATAAATACAAATAGGAAGTATATAAAAATCTCCCGAATAACAACCCATTACATGCTGTTTAAATATAAAAGTATTGCATATAAACTCGTTCAAAACATGCAATTATTTAAACACTACAATGCGTTCAATAATTTGGTCGAATTATTATAATATACTAATATAATACCTGATTTAATAAATATTCCATATTTTATATAACATATCATGTAATTTATCCAATGGTCAAATTTATTTTATGTATCGTCAAATTTAACCAAATAATACACGAACATAAACAAGTGCAAACCGGTTTCAGTCGGGTAAAAACAATAAAGAATTTACATAGAAGTTTATTGTGCGTATAATAGTTTGGCCAGGGACTGTATATTGATATTGATATAATAATAATTGCAATAATAAATATTTATTTGCTATTTCTGATATTTTCTTTCTTTAAATTCATTTTTCACAAGGATTCTAAAAATATAGAATTATAGTAGTAAGGAGCGTCTTAGAGTATTCAGATCATAAATTATGTGAGATGGTATAATTGAAATGTCTTAAACAATATTCAAAAACTAAGAACAAACACTAAATTAACAGTAAAATTAATTTCAAAATGTGAAGAAAAGCCCAGAATTATAGCGCATTTGTAAATTTATTAACCTTTAAAAATTACTTTGTATATAATTATATATTAAAGGGAATTGCATCAAGGATTAGATAATTACATTCTCGAGTTTACGCAGTTTCCAACTTTTTAAAAATAATTTACTCGCAAGCACTGTGAAATAGTTTTAGATGTATTTTTAAAAAAAGTAAAGTGTCTTTTTTAAAAACTTGGAAAGAATCTCCATAAAAAAGTTCACATGATATGCTTTTCAAACTATGAAATAGTTCAATGTAAGTATGCATTGAATGTGTATTCATTTTATTGTATGTATACATGTAATTGTATACAATGTATGTATACAATTCAATGTATGACATACTGACTGTTTCAGTATGTCATACATTGAAATACATATAAAAATAATGCCATAAAAGAATCACATTACCTTCAAAGCCAGAATAAGTAATATTCGTCTGGTAAGGTGCTTTTCTTAAAACTTGTGAAGAATCTCCATAACAAAGTTCATGTGCAATGCTTTTCGAAACCCCTTGGAATGTAATCATATCATAAAATTTCTTTAATGCTTCTCCATTTTTCAGTGCTTCAGATATATGTTTTGCACCTACTTCTCGCTCAAGGTGTTTGGTAGAGTGTAAAAGTTCAGCACCTATTAAAATACAATAAGTTTATAGTAAAAAACACTATTTCTTTAAAAGTAAACTTGTGTAAAAACAAAAGTAAGTATTGTTTTTACACAACTGAAACCGGTTTGCACTTTTTTATTATTGTGTATCAATTGGTTAACATTGTAATGCAATACGCTGAAAATAAATAAAAATAGAAAGTATATGAAAAATCTCCTGAATAAAAACCCATTACATGTATGTATAATTAAGAAGTATCGCACATAAACTCGCTCAAAACAAGCAATTATTAAAGCACTACAGTGCGTCTAATAATTTTGTCGAATTATTATAATATATTAATATAATACCTGATATAATAAATATTCTATATTTATATAATATAGCTTCAAATTTTTCCAATCATTGAATTTATATTAAATATCGTCGAATTTAAATAGTTGATACACCAACGTAAACAAGTGCAAACCGGTTTCAGTCGCGTAAAAACAATAAAGCTGTATAGTATCGCCTGATAAATTAGATTTTACATTGAATCTTATAATGCATCTGCAGTACAATTATCACAAATAACAATTGTTTTTAAGCCTATTTTTGTGCAATGAAAATGTCTTAAGGAAGTAAATAGTAAAAAGAAAATGAAATGTAGATTCATACCTAAGGCAGTTACAAGCTGTAAGATATCGTCAGGCCCTCCTCCTCTTAAGCATTCTATCGATTCCAATACTTCTAAAGAATTCCCACTATTCCTTCCAAGAGGATTTTCCATTGATGTTAACAAAGCAACAACATCAACGCTCTTCGATGCATTAACCTAATATTTACAATAATTAAAAGAATTTGATGAACACACAATTTTTTTTCACCAAACAATCAACTGAAATAGCACAAAAATATAAAATGATTACTATCAACTGAGTGTTCACAAGCATTTTCATTTAAACTATTTAATAAACTGGGTCTGCTACTTCCCTCTGAGTAAATAGTTTTCTTACGAATTTTTCAAAATTAAATTCAAAGGTTGTCAACAGATGGAGCTGCTGACTATATAAACTTCGAAATAATTTTTACAGCTGCATGTCAGACCATTCAAACTAAAATATTTTCACGAGATCTATTATTTTATCTTATTTTATAACAATAGAACCAGTTTTTGATACGTAGCCTTGTAATTTTGAACCCAGAATATAAGGGAACACTTAAATTAAAAGTTGGGATAATTAGTTTTCATTGAGGACTTTTTGATGCTAGTAATTCACACAGCTGTTGCAGAAGTTGCGTAACATGAAAAGAAAAACCACGAAAGCCACCCACGGTTACCCTGACGGTAAGGGAACTCTAACCCATGATCCGACAACCACTGAGGATATTTTACATCAGCACTGTGGTCGGTGCAAGCTGGATGTGGAATTCGTATCAACCAGTCATCGCTGGGATTCAACCCCGGTTCACTTTACTGGAAGGGGAAAGCTCTATCCCCTGAGCCATCACGACTCAAATTATAGCCATTTTGTATTTTGCAACCGTCGTTGAACAACTGACCCAATTTTCGGGTTTACGACTACTAATGTTCAATTCCGTAGTCTTGTAATTTTGAACTCAATCAAGAAGACAAATGAACTCATGGATCAAATATTGGGAGAAATTTTGCCTTCGTGGAGGATTTTTTGTTGGAACTAATCCGCATTAATAAAGTAATATTAAGGCATATTACTCGGAACTCACCTGTGTCATCACTTGTGATTTAATTGTTATGGCGCTTACTCATTCTCTTTTGACAAGACAAAAGTTTAGGCGAGTTAAATGTTGTAATAAACTATTACAGGGACATTTTTTATCCTCATAAGAAATACGTGCTGGTGTTAGCAAACTCATAATAATTTTTGGCAAATAAAATGTTTACATATAATTCACAAAAATTATTTTCTTCTCATAAAAAATTTATACTGGTGAAATCAGACTTCTACAACTGATTTTTAGCTATTAAAATGTTTAAGTAAAATTTGATAAAAGAAATGTTGTTCTCATAAAAATACTATACTGGTGCAGGCAGTATTCTACAACTGAATTTTAGCTAATAAAATGTTTAAATAAANTTAGCTATTAAAATGTTTAAGTAAAATTTTATAAAAGAAATTTTGTTCTCATAAAAATACTACTGGTGCAGGTAGTCTTCTACAACTGAATTTCAGCTAATAAAATGCTTAAATAAAATTTGATAAAAGAAATTTAGTTCTCATAAAAATACTATACTGGTGCAGACAGTCTTCTACAACTGATTTTTAGCTAATAAAATGTCTGAATAAAATTTGATAAAAGAAATTGTGTTCTCATAAAAATACTATACTGGTGCAGGCAGTCTTCTACAACTGATTTTTAGCTAATAAAATGTTTGAATAAAATTCGATAAAAGAAATTTTGTTCTCATAAAAATACTATACTTGTGCAGGCAGTCTTCTGCAACTGATTTTTAGCTAATAAAATGTTTAAGTAAAATTCGATAAAAAAAACTTTTCACATCGAAATATTTTGCTGGTGAAAGCAGATTTCTAAAACTAATTTTTGGGCAAATAAAATTCTATAAAAAATATTCTTTCTTAATAAAATATTGTGCCGATGCAGACAGACTTCTGAAATAAAAATAATCTTTTCATAAAAATCTCTCAAAGAGCTCAAAACCTCCTCATAATCTATTCAAAAAATCTTTTCAGAAAAGCTGGCATTGACAGACTTCAAAAATTAACTCTATATTTCCGAAAAAGCTCATATTAAAAAAAGTTATGATTTAATTATCAATTTTAATTTATTACTGTTGATTCTAATGAGCCGTGGTGGCTCAGAATATAGAGCCTCCGAATGAGGAGACACGGTTCAAATCTCAGTGTCGACTGGTCGATACGACTTCCGGGTGGCACCAACCACGGTACTAAAGAAAATATACTCAATGGTAGACGAGTAATTGGTTAGAATCCTCTTACCACCAAGCTAACTATGAGAAGTTTTCGTGGTTTTCCTCTCCATATAACACTAATTCGGGTTAGTTCCATTGAAAAATTCCTCAACAAAGGCAAATTTCCCCCAATATTTGACCTAGGAGTTCCCTTGTCTTCCGGATTGGGTTCAAAATTACAAGGCTACGGAATTTAACAATTATAGTCGTCAACTTTTCAACTACAGTTATAAAATAAAATAAAATTTTTCAATTTTTTTAAAAAAAAGTTAAAATATAGGACATGCTTTAATGAATGGAAAAAAACGCTTTGAAAACTGTAGCTTACTCTATCACTTATAGATAACAGAAAGATAAAAGTATTGTATAGAAGTTATAAAATGAGCACACATAGCTAAAAAGTTTATTAATAAGAATCGAGATACATGACAAATGTTTGCTAAGCATTATCACTCAGACTATGTTATCATTAATTCAACATTGAAAAAATGTCTCAAAATTTTTCTGTATCAGCAAGTCCTAACGGTTCTGTTTTTATAACTATTTTTTGCTTTTGCTTCTGATGTGTGTAAATAAGTGATATATGATTCAACAATTTTTTTAAATAAACATTTTATCACTGATAAAAGAACTAATTTTCAAGTCATGTATTCTTTATTTTTGTTTGTTACTATTTATTAGCTTCGTAGAAATTTATTACATCGTGATTTAAGATGCATTACACCATTATAAACGCAGTATATTTTAAAAACTGCAAATACAGAGTAAAGGTTATAAACGTGTCTATGACCGAAAAAATCGTGATTTTTTGGTGCTAAATTAGAAGTGAAACGCTCTAAGCTACATAATGAATGTAAGCTACATTTTAAAATTCTTCGAATTCTATGCATGCCATTATATATTTCTGCGCATTGAGTTATTATCTAGCGAAAATTTCTGAAACCTGAGATATGCCTACCTAGAAACAATACGGAGAAACATTTTGATATAAAAAATGTCACCATTGTAAAAATGGTTTATCAGTATACTGAGGCAAGCCCTTCAATTTCATTAATTTCATGATTGTAATTAGTATGCGAAATCTGATGAACAGTACGCAAAAGAAAAAGTGAACACCCTGAATAATTTTAAATCTAATTATGGGATATTTCCTGTACTGACCATAAATAAGGTAAATAATTATTAAAGAAAATATTTTAAAAAATTGTAAAGTCGGACACAAAAGTGTACTTTCTCTGAGCAAACATAGATACTGTACCTGGCCATATTATAAGACATAACATTCCATGTAAAATTATAATTACCAGGTGATACTATGCGACTGCATTGTTTTTACTCGGATGAAACCGGTTTGCATTTGTTTACGCTCCTGTATCAATCGGTTAATATTGTAATGCAGTACGTTAAAAATAAATACAAATAGGAACTATATCAGTATATCAAAAATTTCCCGGATAAAAACCCATTACATGAATGCTTAAATATAAAAGCATTGCATATAAACTCGTGCAAATCATATAATTATTAAAGAACTGCAGTGCATCTAATAATTTTATTTTTTTATTGTAATATACTAATATAATTCTTCATATAATAAACATTCTATATTTATATAACATATCGTCTAACGTATCCTATAGTCAAATTGATATTATATATCGTCTAATTTAACCAATCGATACACTAACGTAAACAAGTGCAAACCGGTTTCAGTCACATAAAAATGGTAAAGCTGTATAGTATAACCTGATAATTAATATTTTATATAGAATCTTATAGTGGGTCTAAAATTTTGGCCAGGGACGACTATATATATATANATATATATATATATGTATTATGTATTTCCACGCGCTATACAGAGGTTGTAAGGAACTAATGCCGTTAACAAGGGAATTAGCATCCTTATAAATGAAACAAGATTACAGGGTATCAAGCAAACTTTACAGCATTCGTGAATCGATCGTTTTTTTTAAATTTTATTTATTTAATTTGCATCAACTGTAGAAGTAGGACGTATTTTCAAACATATTTCGTATTTCCAAACTTTTCAAATTGTTGTTCTGATTTAATAGCATTTTAAAATGATAAAACTTAAACACTTGGAAATATTCCCTTTTATTAATTAAGGAATAAATAAAAAAAAAACAACATATTAAGTAATTAAGGCATATAAATTTAAACAAATCTGTTAAAGTTGATGACGTCATTTCTTAATTGGATTTTGGAATGAGGCATTCAACAACAGAAAGTAATTTCATGTAACTGAAACTGCTTTTTGAAGTTTAAAAAATGTTTTTATGTCGCGTTGGATTGCAAAGATATTTATAAATATTGGTAGTTAGACCTGCATTATTTCCTTTTATGATATCTTCTTTGAATGAATAAATCTTTCAAATTAGTGTCGTAGGTATCTTTCTTTCCTTAGGTCCAACTTAATTTATGGCATCATTTAATCAACTTTCCTAAAGTTCTTAATGTCCCTTAAACTTGGTGCAGTATAGCCAATCTCGGCTCTTGTGCCATCTAGCCGATTACATTATTACTGAATTATACTAATCCTCTAGATTAAACTTATCCACTACATAGTTCAGCAGCATTTAAACTAGTGGATATGAAGTCTATCATTCGAAACGTATCTATTAATAGTCACTTAAAGTTCTCAAAAATTCACAAAAAAACTTTGCTACTAGTTTTTAATGATATCCATTATGTATTTTACGTTGCATATTTTAATTTCGGATTAATGTACCGTGTTATATTTAACAAAAATTCTATATCATGCAACTAAATAATTTTGTATGTAAATGTTAAATTACTTATACTTTTGAATAGAATTAAAACTGAACATAAAGTTTTCATTAATGTATTCAGTGGCATGTTATATTCAACATATATTGTCATAGTGCCATGTAACGTTTACAAATATGTATTTATTAATCAAATAAATAATTTCTGTAACTGGTCAGATCTTAGTTCATATCATTTCATGTTGAGAGGTTCAAGCAGTTCTGAAAGGTAGCTGTAATTTTATTATATCTAAAGGTAGTAATAAAAGTTTATTACTGTAGATATTTTTATAGAAGCTACAGCATAAAATCAGAGTGTGTCCTCGATTGTTATTAGTCTATAAAAAAATCCAGACACGGAAATAAATTTAATTACTTTTAGGGAAAACGACCTACATGCGAGGTGAACTACTTTTCATTAAAACCTAAATAAAAATTTTTAGCATTTGATGAAATAAAAATTCTAAATAAAAATTCAGTACACTTTTTACACAATTTGACGTGATAATAGAATGAACATTCACGTATTAGGTAACAAAATTAGTACTTTAAGGGTCAGACTTTAAATATGCTAATTAATTAGTGCAGACAATACTTCAACTTACGAATTTAGACACGAAAACGTACTTTCTTTGAATGAACATAACTTTTTTAAGACAAATTTAGATTTTTGTAGCTCAAAATATGACATACAATCAACAAAATATGGTCCAAATAGTTTGGTCAGTAGAGTGGTCAAAAGTTTGGAGTTAATGTTAAATTCACTTTTTGCGTATTTTGCCATAACTCAGAAAGGGAATAAAAAAGGCTTTTTAAGACTATTATAAAACTTGCTTGCCTAAAGATAATTCCGCGCAAAAAACAGTTCGTTATTATTTATTACTACTATTTTATTCCTTTTTAAAAATGAGTTGAAAATGTTTGATTTTAAGACAGTGTTAATGTACGCAGTTTTAAATGTAAAAATTTGAAATTTGAAATAATTGGTCAACTCGTTTTTGATGAAAAAATTTATGTAAACTGATGTATGTTACTTTTGTAAATTTCAGAGCGTTTTATTTAGAAACATTGTACACAAGAGTATTGGTTTTAAAATCAGAAGCAATCAGGTCTCTATCATTAGTCATTTTCCATCGCATGAAAATTATCCGTGAAAAAATGCAGTGATTTAGCCGATTTCACTACAAAATTTCTGAAGTCTAAACTACTGCATATTCACTGCAGAATTTTTGAGGTTAATATAACTGCACAAAATTATTGCACTTTACAAACTGCAATAATTTTATAGTTCTTCAATCTCAATCATTCTACAAAAATAGCCAAATCAACTTCAAACTGCAATATTTTTTTAAATTTTCTGCAGTTATTAACTGCGTTAATTTTTTGGAGAGCAGTTTTTCTCAATGAATGTCAACTTATTTAAAAAAAAAATTATTACTTACCAGGCTTTTAGCAGTATCTAGAGCTTCTTCTTTTGATTTAAAAACTGAGCCTTTCCCATACTTAACATCGTAAACTAATGAATTAAGACCTTCACTCAATTTTTTCGATGAAATGGAAGCTGTAAAAAAGTTGAAATTTTTATAACTTAATAATATTTTTTCAATAATTACTTAAGAATCACGCTTTAAAGTTAACGTGTGTCAGCAAATAATGATGAATTTTTTTTGGACTCACCATATGGCTATAAGGGGTCGCAATTTTATAAAAATTCGAGAACAAAAATACCAACGAAGCCAAACGCATCAGCACAAATGATGAAACAGTAAGTAGAGCATAAAGTTTTGTTTGATTGCCGAAGATAACAAAAAGAAGATAAAAAAGAATCATTAGAATCACCTATAAATTTCCTTTAGCAATTAACCAAGTTTAATGGTTTTAATACCGCCCTCTTCACTAGCTTTTCTTCCGTTACATTTCACTACATTCCGTTACAATTCGTTACATTTCACTAGCGTTTTCTTCCGTCACTTTTATATTAAATTACGACCCTTAATGTATTCGCATTTTCAACTTCATTTATAGCAAAGGTACTAAAATTTGCGTATTAAGTTGTTACCTTGTATGTACAGAGTACTTTTTTTTGTAGAAGATACTTGAAGAAGATATTTTGTAGAAGATAAGTACAAAAATGCCTATGTCCTTAAGGTAAAATATTATTTTCTTAAGAAAAAATATTACTTGTGTATGCTTGTATCTTGGACCAATCTCTGCATTGTACCTTAATCCAGTCTAGTGTATATGCAACAGGTCTAATTTTCCGAAATATATTTCCCTAAGGACTAAGCCATTAAACTCCCATTAAGGCAGTCTTAATGTATGGTTTAGAAACCTGACCTTTAAATAAAAACTCAAAAAAGGCACAAAATAACCTTTGGCAAAAACGCTTTAACGCAAAAATTTATAGAATTTTTAAAGAGCTAGTTATCATCTATAGTAATAAAGTTAAAAGAACTAATGAATAAGGCTAATTGGCAGAATGTATGAAGAAAAAAATCCAGTAAAGAAAATTTTTGTGTCAAAGCTCTTCACTAGTTGAAAAAATGAAAGACCAAAACAACGATGACTCGATTCTGTAGAATCAGATTTTAGAGTGATTAGGATGAAAGAAACTAGCAGTCCAGATCTGAAAATAGTTTGTAATGGAAGACTCTTCAGCAGAAGGCATTGACCCACCCAGGACTGTCGTGCCAAATATGCTGAATAGGAATCTAATAAAAATCTGTAAACATTTTTATGTTCATAGCAAAGCTATAAATTTGTGAAAAATTGTAATAAAATATATTCCGAAATTACATTTACTATTAACTTGATTTATTTTAGCTCATACGGGCAATACGATAAATAACTTTTAATTGCATGACTATCCAAATTCTATCAGCTCATACATGTATGTGCAACAGTGTTACAAGTTTAAAAAAAGAACTCAAAATGGGTGTTATCCATAGAGCAACATCTAATTCTCTCAGGCAACGATTCCCAATTTTTTCGGCTACGGAATCTGAAACAAGCAACTTTCTTTCGGTGGAACCAGGACTTTATAAATAAAGTTTATTAAGGCAATTCTAAACGTTAGAACCTATACAAGACTATTTTTATATATTTAATTAATGGAATGAAGATTTTTTACCGTTTTATCATAAATAAACTTAAGTTAGTTTTTACGTTTGACAGTTCAATTTGCAGTCCTGTATCTTGTTTAGTTATGATTTTGTTTATTTAGGATATAGATAAGCTGAAAATTAATAAAATAAACATAATATAATAAAATAGCATTGAAAATGGCTATTAAGAAAATATGTCTTTTTAACGAATTTAATTATTTCATTTTGATTTGAAAAGCGCGATAGGAAATACTAATGTATTGGGAGTTCAAATTAGTTCGGTCCGTTTTCAAAAGATGGCTCTGGCTGTTATGAATTTTTCATAGTGACAGCTGGTTTCGATGGTTTCAGAGAGGTTAGACATCTGTCAATAATATTCAGTTTATATCATTTTAAGTTTCATACAAAAGCCATGTTTTTTACTTCGCTGAATATGTCAAATTTTGCGATAACTAAGCACCATTTGCGGGAGGTTTTTATGTTTTTGCGTTAATTTCAAGAAAAGTGCAGCTGAAACGCATCGAATGCTTGTAGAAGTTTATGGTGACAATGCTCCAACTGATAAATCATGTAGGGAATGGTTTCGACATTTCAAGAATGGTGAATGGTTAAAGAAGAATGGTGAATGGTGAAAGAAGAATGGTGAATGATGAAAGAAGAATGGTGAATAATGTTGTGTACTATGAGCTGTTACAACTGGCGATTCCATTATGGGCAATCGGCATAGGCTACAATTGATTCGTTTGAACCATGCATTACTAGGAAAAATGGCCGGAATACGTGCAAAGACATGGAAAATTTATTCTTCTACATGATAACGGTCGGCATCATGTCGCAAAAAGCGTGAAAAATTATTTGAAAACGCTCAAATGGGATATTTTACCGCACCCGCCGGATTCACCGGACATTGCACCTTCTGATTACTGGTTGTTCCGACGGATGCAGCATGATTTGGCAGGTCAGCTGTTCACTTCTTTGGCAGAAATAGAAAATTGACCCCTAACTTGGATCGCCTCAAACAACGAGACATTTTTTCGAGATGGAATTCGAAAATTGCCCGAGAGGGGAGAAAAAGTTGTAGCCAGAGATGGACAATACTTTGATTAATCTGTTTATTCATTTTGTTCAAAAATTAATGCATTTTTGACTGCGAAAAAAACGGACCGAACTAATTTGTACTCCCAATACTATTTATAAATACTCATTTATTTCATAATATGTTCCATATATTGAAATTAGAAATATTTTATATTCTCTTAAAAACTGTAATTTTTATTTCATTGGCATTTTACTTGAAATAATTTTCTGAGGGTAGCCGAAAAATTAAATGAATTATGAATTATATGTCGGATCTAAATATAATCAGAGAGTTCAAACACTTACTGTAAAAAGTACTAACTCACGAGACTTCTGAGGAACACAATTTGAGAACTCTAAAGTACAGTGCATGTTGGTTCAAGTAACAACTCCACCTTGTAATGTGGACTGAATTTTCTTAATTTAAAAAACTTTTTTTTTAATGTATGGGACAGAATTTGTTCACAAAATATTATAAATAGGTCAAAAATATAATACATTTCTCATAAAGTTAATTATTATTTTCAACATTAAAAAAACTTAAAATTGATTTACAGTCCTTGACCAAATTGTTAGACGCACTATAAGATTCTACATAAAATCTTAATTATCAGGTGATACTATACAGCTTTATTATTTTTATGTGACTGAAACTTGTTTCCGCTAGTGTATCAATTGCTTAAATTAGGCGATATGTAGCATAAATTTGACGATGAGATAAATTGGACGATATAATATATAAATATAGAATATTCATTATATCAAGCATTATATTAGTATACTACAATAATTAGATCAAATTATTAGACTCACTGTAGTTTTTTAGTAATAGCATGATTTGACTTTTATATTTAAACATACATGTGATGGATTTGTATTCGGGAGATTTTTTATATATTTATATACTTCCTACTTCTATTTATTTTTAACGTATCGCATTACATTGTTAAGGCCTGTTTAGACGATCCAATTTCTTGGACAGAGATTGATTGATATTGATGGAAACTTGCTTTGCTTTGAGCTTTGATCGTGTAAACAAACATCCAAGAACTTGGTCCAACTTCTTGGACGATAGTAGAGCATGTTCTACTTTCCATCCAAGTTTTTTCTCCCTTAACCAATCAGCGTCTTAGGTTTTGTGACGTCAACAATCAGGCAGCAAATTATGTCATCTTCTTGTCTGTTTTCATATATTTTAGTCCAAATAAATTGATCTGTTGCGGTTTATTTGTGTTATTATGATTTTATTTGAATTTATTTAGTAATTTTAAACTTATGTAAGTATTATTTTAAAATGTTGAATATGAACAATGCGCATGCGCAAGTTTTTCTTTCAACGAATCAGCGACATTCAGGAACTTGGATAGTGTCAACGAATCATCAAATTTCTTGGACAGAGAAATCCGTCCAATTTCTCGGATTCAAGAAATTGGACCGTGTAAACAGGCCTTTAACCAATTGATACAGGAGCGTAAACAAATACAAACCGGTTTCATCCGTGGAAAAACAATAAAGCTGTATAGTATCACCTGATAATTAAGATTTTACATATAATCTTATAGTGCGTCTAATAATATGGCCAGAGACTGTGCAACACTGTTCCCCATTTCATCTCATTTTAATTATTAGTAACCTGAATGTTTCATTTTTATGATTCTGGACCAATTGAGTATTTACATATAATAAGTGATGCACAATCTACAGTGGCTGTAATTTCTCTACAGTGGTAGAGTACTTTATCTGCTGGTGCACAATCTTCAGTTTGCCCTACAATACAACATCCTACATTTTCTAATGCTGATTGAATTTCTTGTTTTGTCAAGGAAACTCTATAACCAGGAATCGATTCTAATTTATCAAGTGTTCCTCCTGTATGTCCTAAAGACCTTCCAGATACCATAGGTACCTGAAATCAAAAATTCCTTATGAAAAATCGAACTGCGTTTTAAAATATCAATTTATACAGTCGTTTTGAAACATAAATCATTAGTCGCACTATACGATTCTATGTAAAATCTTAATTATCAGGTAACAGCTTTATTGTTTTGACGCGACTTAAAACAATTTGTAATTGTTAACGCTCGTGTGTCAATTGATGAAATTAGAAGATATGTAATATAAATTCAACAATTGGATAAGTTAGACGATATATTTTATAAATATAGAATATTTATTGCATCATGTATTATATTAGTATATTATAATAATTAGATTAAATTATGAGACGCACTGTAGTGTTTTAATAATCGCATGTTTTGCACGAGTTTATATGCAATACTCTTACTATATTTAAACATAAATGTAATGGGTTTTAACAGAGGAGATTTTTTATGTATTTCCCATTTGTATTTATTTTTAACGTGACATTTGTTATTTAACTTGACAATTAATTCATTAAAATATTTTTAAAGATTAGTCCATTTTGAGAAGATTGTAAATATTTTTTGTTTAAAAAAACAACAAAATTCTTCGAAAATAAATTAATAAGCAAAAAATAAGCGTCAGTAATGATAATAATAATAACAAGACATACCTATTTAATGTAATAACAAAATATAATAATTGTTATAATATCAATACTCAAACAGCACAAAATTCACCATAAGAAATATTTGAAATATTCTCAAACTGTATAATAATTCCTCTTTTCAAAAATGTTATTTTAGAAATATAGTATTTTTTTAGATAATATCTCGGATATTTTCTTTGAAGTATCCTAATTCAGTTTCAAATGTAAGTTTTTGGATAATTAAGTATAATTATTTTTATTTTTAACCTCATTACAAATATGTAAACGGTAAAGAAATGTTCTTTCCCGCACAAACAACCTATCGTAAATAATACCGGAAATTTTTATAATACTTGCTATCAATCAAAAGGATTTGCAAACACTGATTTATAGGCTAGAAAAACGTCCTCATGCGCATGTCATTGAAAAAAAAATAATAAAGTAATTTTCTTATTTCTCGAAAATTTTTATAGCATTGCGTTAGTTTAAATACGCAAAATAATTTTATTATTTTCAAATTTTTATTCAAAAGATCAAACGAATCTAATTAAAATTGAATTAAATTAGTCAAATAAAAAAGAAAAGAAGTCGATTTGCATTTTATATTGAAAATGCTTGAACAGCCAGATAGTTAAAGCTTTCATTTTAATGTACTAGCAATATGTTGTTTTGTCGAAAAAAGTTTAAGTAATTAACCATTTTATTCACGAAAGCACAAATATATGCAGGTATTTTTAAATCTGCTTTAATTTGTTCTAATACTCAATAAATCAGTTTTTTTTTCTTTTTTCCATCATTTTTTTCCAATTTTTTCTATTTTTAATAACTTAATACACATTTTTTAAATAAATAAAATTTATAGCTTCATTTTAGTGTATGAAACGCCAGGCAAATATATGAGTTATTCTATTTTTGTATATAATGATTATCTAGTGTAAACTTATAAACATAATGAATTCCTTAAAAAAAATATTATTATTTAATCCTTTAAACGTTAGTCCTCGAAAATATCCTGGTTGCTTTCCTACACAGGAAACTGGTTTTCTGTGTATGTTTTTCTTAATTAGCACACCAGTTTAAAGGTTAATTAACAGTTTTGCTATTAACCAAATTTTCTAACAAATAAGTTCAGTTATTACAGTTGAGTAAATACTGGGGGCTTACGTGATCTTAATATATATTTTTAAAATCTTTATAAAAAGGAATTGAATGAAATATAAACACAGTGCGTCACAAAATAACACTAAAGCCGGGAAAGAACATATAAGTTATCAGTAGTGAGCATGTTAGGTGAAAAAGCAGAAAAACTTGTTTGATTGGCAGTTGAAATTGAAGGTGTTTAATAATCACGTTTCCACTCCTCTCCGTTTTTTCAGGCAATCAAACAGGTTTTAATGTTTTTAATCTCATCTCTATCAATAGTGATCGAAATAGTTTCGAAAGCGTTTTTACCTTGCCAAAATATTAATTTTCAACCCCTAATACGTACATTTGTGAAAAAGGTTTCTTAAAAATGTATTAAGGATGCACCTAACACCTAAAATAATAATTAAAAATTACTAATTATTTATACCTTCAAGCCAAGTGCTGCCAATACTGGTGCTAAAATGAGGCTAATTTTATCTCCTACTCCTCCAGTGCTGTGTTTATCTACTACAAAATCTTTGTATGATTCGGGCCAAACAAAAGCATTAGAAGAACTCGTCATTGCCATGGTTAGCTCGGCTGTTTCAAAATCATTTAATCCTTTTAAGTAGATTGCCATCAACATTGCTCCTAAAAAATATTGAACTATATTATCCCACTGTATATAATATACAGTCCCTGGCCAAATTACTCAAGATTCTATGTAAAATTTTAATTACACTGTACAGCTTTACTGTTCCTACGCTGCTAAAACCGGTTTACACTTCTTTACGTTCGTTTATCAATTGTTAAGCATTGTAATGTAATACTTTAAGAATAAATACAAATAGAAAGCACATAAAAAGTCTCCTGAATAAAAACCCATTACATGTATGTTTAAATATGAAAATATTGCAGATAAACTCGTGCAAAACATGTAATTATTTAAAAACTACAGTGTGACTAATAATTTGATCTAATTATTATAATATACTAATATAATTCCTGGCATAATAAAGGTTCTATATTTATGTAATATATCGTCTAATTTATCCAATCGTTGAATTTATATTATATATCGTCTAATTTTACCAATTAGTACACTAACGTAAACAAATGCAAACCGGTTTTAATCACATAAAAACAATAGAGCTGTATAGTATCACCTGATAATTAAGATTTTACATAGAATTTTAGAGTGAGTCTTATAATTTGGCTAGTTACTGTAGTTTGCTAAAAAAGAATAAAAGAGATCCAAATGGAATATTTTTTTCTTTTTGGTATTTCGATTTTTTTTTTTTTTTTAAATCTTTCGGATGCTGGATCTCGTCAGATTTCGACATGAAAATTCGTGTCTAACAGAATACTTAATGGGTAGGTAAATAATATAAAGCTAGAGGGCGTCAAAGTTTATGTTCTTTAATGAGGCAAAAACACACAAAGAACGATGAAGTTAAGTTATAAAAGCAAATTTAATGGCATGTGATTACCATAAGTGTTCAAAACAGTGATCGGCAGCGGCTATGCAGGTACAACGGCGAAGAAAAGATACGCGAACTTTCCCTGCAGCGGCCGAAAGCTTGGCGACAAATAACATAGCGCAGTAACTCGCAATAGGAATAGAGCTTTCTCGTTTGCATGAAAAAACTTTCCAAATGAGCCAGCACCTTTGCGTTTTGTTTTCGACCATGCATTCTTTGATAAAAATTGTTTGTCTGGATGTGTACTATCACTTCCTAAAAATTTTCCCATCTTTTTAAAATCACCCAGTATACTTATTGTAGGTGATAGAACTCTTGTAGGCAAATGGAAATTAGCTTCATATTCTGGGTAAAAATCATAATTTCAAACAATCTATAACTATAAAACTGCTACGAAATAGAATAAAATTTTCAGACATCATTTTCTAAACTTAAATTCCATTTGCATACAAAATTTTTGCTTGATTGTCGAATATTACTTCGAATAATTTCCATGTGAGTCATAAAATGAGATTTTTATGGCCTTCGTGATATGATTCTATTATTCTAGGATTCTTATGATGTTTATTTGTTTGATGATTTTCGTGATGCTAAAATGCAGGCATTGGCCTTGTAGAAATTTGCCATTCGATAGCTCAATACATACTGGATTACTTAATAAATGTACATTGAATATCTCTACTAAATAAAAAAAAGTGTAGATAATACCTAATGAATTTCTTTCCCAGCTTTAAGACACATCAGAATTTAAAGAAACATTTATACATTTAAATCTGATGCTTATATATATATATATATATATACAGTGAGTTAACGTTTTCATTTAACTCTTTTCTGTAACCATAATCATCTTATTGAGCGAATAACAAAAGTGCTGAAAATCGAGCTTAATTTTAATATTCATAAATCTTAATACCTTCATGTTTGACAACCTTTTAAAAAAACGTTTTTATTTTTTAAAAAGAAGGAAATGGGAACTCAAACGTTCCTTTTTTTAGAATTGAGTTTGCAGAAGTTCTATAGATTTTCTCCTTTATCGATATCATAGACGTATATAAAACTAAATTCTAAGCACGGTGCATTTTTTAAACCAAAATGGTAGGTAACAATGAAAAATATCAATACAATATATATAGATGCGTACAGTGTGCCAAAAAAACCGGACAACCATGAATAACTTTTGATCTAATGATCGGATTTTCGCGTTCTGGGATTCAATCTTAATGGCTCGAGGGTGTGATCTCAAATATGCTGATAAATAAGTGCAGACGATATTTTAAGTTACGAAATCAGGCACAAAAACGTACTGTCTCTGAATAAACATACCATTTTTCGACGGATTCAGATTTCTAACCTCCAGAATATAAGAGCCAGCCGCAATCGTGCAAATATGAACCCAATTGTTTAGTCCGGAGAACAATCTAAAGTTTGAACCCCGTAATATCATTTTTACTTTCTGTGTATTTCGCTATAGCTCGAGAAAATTTAAAGCGAAATGAAACTTTTTTACGTACAATTATAAAATTCGTTCGTCCAAAGATAATTCCATGCAAAAATAAATGAAATGGGAAAAAATGAGTAAATTTGTTAAAATAGTTCCTGAGAAATTAAATTACAAAAAATACAGATACTTAAAATTCCATTTATCAGGAAATATTCAGTCGATTTAGCTCAAATTCCGTATTTTGCCATCTAAAAATACTTTCTTTAAAATGAGGCAAAAATTGCAAGCTTTGCAATCCAAAAATTTTTTTACCATTCTTAAATAAGAAAAATAATAAATATTTACTAAATAATAAATATTAAGTAATAAATAATTAAATATAAATAAAAAATATAATAAATAATTAAATATAAATAAAAAATATAATAAATAATTAAATATAAATGAAAAATATAATAAATAATTAAATATAAAAAATAAATATTTATTAAAAGTTATTTTTTGCATGGAATTAACTTTGGATAAGCAAATTTCATAATTGCGTGTGTAAAATTTTCAATTCGCTTAAATAGTTCTCGAAATATAGCAAAATACCCAAAAATTAAAATTACATTAAGGGTTCCAAACTTTGGAGCGCTCTCCTGTCCAAACTGTTGGAACCATATCTCCCAGATGGAAGCTACCTCTTATATTTTGGCGGTCAAAAATCCAAATCCGTCGAAAAACAAGAATGTTTATTCAGAGAAAATACGTTTTTGAGTCTGATTTCGTTAATTAAAATATCGTCTACACTTATTAATTAGCATATTTGAAATCATCCCCATGAGCCATTAAGAAATAGTCCTAGAATGTCAAGATCCTATCATTAGATCAAAAGTTATTCAGGGTGATCCGTTTTTTTTTTTTTTTCGCACTGTACAAACATTTTATTATTTAGGAGTTTTTCATACAAAGAATAATGAGTATTCATACGTAGTAGTATTCATACGTAGTAGTAATCATACATATGAGTTTTCATACGTAATGAGTATTCATACGTAATGAGTAATCATAATGAGTATTCGTATATACTTTTCATACGTAGAATAATGAACTCATTAATGGAATAATGAGTTCTCTTAATTTTTTGATACAGGTGGTCGTTTTTAAAAAAAAAAAATTCATTTGCTAAAAAATACAAAAAGGATAAAAACGTCAAAAACAGTCAAATTTTTTTTTTTCATTTTAATGCATTCAGAAT